TCCTGCTTGGCGCAATTAGTTAACTCTCTTGGAGGTTAGCATCAGCCATTCTGATGGAAGGTAAAAAGAATTCTCTCATATTATTAAAAGAGAGCAGTTTCGTATTTGAGGCGTTAAAATTAACAAGCCACTCTTTGCCCCATTTAACAACAGATTGCAGGTCATTCAATTGATTAAGGAGCAAAAGCAACAGAAGAGTAATCAAGAAGACAGTAGATAACAATTGACATTGCATTTAAATTTTTGAAGATCAAATTGGCTGGAATGCATGGAGCTGGAAGCGAGAAATGAGATAAGTAGCTGATAGCATTGAACTTACGCTTACATGCAACTAATTCAACTGTATATCGATGAGACCTTGCTGCTAATTTAGTACTGTGCTTAAATTCGTAAAGTCGAGATAACACAGAGAAGAGATTATCTGTCAAATTACCTTGAATGTATTTATAGAAAAGACACAGAGAAGCTACATTATGGCGGTGAAAAATGTTTGAAGCCGGGACGTCAAATCAGGACCAATAATGTTGCTGATTCTTCTTTGGAGTTTATTAACCCTAGAACACTAACCATCAATTAAAGTTACACCACTACCAACCATGGGTATATCATAACCGATTTTGAAAAAATATATATATATAAAAAAAAAAATTAAATATAAATCCTTATTTGAAATATTTTACATGCAGGTACTTCAAACTTTGTACTTTGAGTTAACATTAATAGGAACTGAAAAAAACATATTATTCAGGTAAGAAAATCAGGTACGGAAAATTGTAATTAAAAATAGGAAAATTTGTGCTGGGTACTATATACCCATGGTTAGTGTTCTAGGGTTAAGAATCTCTAAATATACAGCAAGATCACCGGATATACGTGACAGCCATATTGAAAGCATGGACGAATGGTAGACTTATAAATATGTAAGACAAATTTAAGAGAGAAAAATTGTCTAGCACGGCAGAGTTAACCAAATTTTTTAGCAGCAAACCTATGAATTGTTTCGATATAATCTTTCCACTCCATGTCAGCCGAGAATGTTATTTCGAGAAGGTGCAACGAGTCACTGTAATCGAGGTTAGCATCAGCCATATTGATAGGAGACAGGAAGGAGTCTTTCAGGAAAAAAGGCAATGATTGTAACCAGAATGAATGCTCTCCATTTTATAAATGAAAACGCTAAAGAATTCTTTCGCGCGTGTTTTCAAATAATCGCTCAAACTGTCATTGGCAATTAGATAAGGCGATAAACGATGTAGAAATGGGGAATAGACGCTTATATTAGCAGATACATAACGCGTTTTCTCGCTGAAGAAAAGTTAGAGAGATTAATAGAATAATTGGTAGCGACGGGAACTTATTTCTCTCTCTCTTTTTCTTAAAATACAAAGTGTGGCTTCATTTAGCTCAATGCAATCAGTCAGTCAGCATCATTTACTGTTATCGTAATTCTATTCATGGCCATTCGGAAAAAGTGATTTTTCATTAAAATTCTTAAAATTATATGCCGTGCATCTGTTATGAACGGCACTTTAAAAATATAAGCACAGTTATATGTGATTGATTGTGAGCCAAAAACTGCCACACCATAAATATACGATGCCACTTGAAGAATTACATTTTAGGAGAAAAGTGTTATTCCAGAATTAAACATATCTAAGTCATTTAAGGAAGCACGGTAGAGTAATGAATAGTGGCTCCGATTGAGGAATCTGGAGAATCGAGTTCGAATTCCAGTCAGTGCTAATATCCTTGGGAAAGGTATGAATCCTCTTCTCCCCACTATGGGTAAATAGCAGGACAGATCGGGTTCTATAGCCTTGGATGGCAACTGGTCTACCGCAGAAAGAAATGGCAACCTACTACGGTAAAAAACTGCCTCGTTAGTCATGTATCGAAAGATACATGATCGCCATCGCCTGTTTATCACGCAAGGCACATAACTGATTGAAATTCTCTTACGTGCTAATACCCTTGGGAGAGGTATGAATTCTCTTCTTCTCCCCACTATGGGTAAATAGCAGAACATATCGGCTTTGATGGCAACTGGTCTACCACAGAAAGACATGGCAACCTACTACGGGAAAAAAAACTACCTCGTCAGTCATGTATGGAAAGATACATGATCGCCTAAGCGTGTATTCCGCATGGCACATAACTGACTGAAGTAGATTGCTAAGTCTGCTGCTTAGAAAGTATGTCCACAATGTCGTGCGAGACAATTTTTCGCACCCGAATCTGTTTTGCCCCATTATAATTCGACCATTCCTCCGTGCATCGAATATTGCTGCCACATCTTGTCTGCTGCTTCTGTTATATATCTAGAAATTCTGGAAAAGATCTGAACATATTCTGAAATATTATTAGTTTCGACCTGGCATCTCAACTTCATTTATTTCCCCACCACGCTCACATAGCTTTCCGGTGCCTTTTCTATAAATATTTTCATGGCAACTGTTTTGATGAACTTAGGTGCCTCTTTAAGCGTAGTACTAGATTGGCAGTTAGGTCTCATCATTTGACGGCTGAAATTTCTAGATGTAGCCCTAAGTTCTATTCTAAGAATTTTTTTTCCTCTCGCAGTTCCCGCCTGTGGGACTCTCTTCCGGCTTCTTGCTTTCCTGTCAAATAGATCTTCAAAAATTTAAATGCCGCGCCAATTTTCATTTCTCTCTTTTTCTTAAAATACAAAGTGTTGCTTCATTTAGCTCAATGCAATCAGTCAGTCAACATCATTTACTGTTATCGTAATTCTATTCATGGCTATTTGGCAAAAGTGATTTTTCATAAAAATTCTTAAAATTATGTGTCGTGCATCTGTTATGAACGGCACTTTAAAAATATAAGGACAGTTATATGTGATTGATTGTGAGCCAAAAACTGCCACACCATAAATATACGATGCCACGTGAAGAATTATATTTTGAATCCTGTTTTTTTATTGTCCATTCTCCCCCAATAACGTTCCCCGAGTTTATTTAACTCTTAGTAACTATTTACGTCTTAGTGGCTTTATCACCTTGCTTGGGGTGAAATGATTGAACAAAAGAAGGAATTGACTTATTATGTGAGCGGGGAATTAAAGAAAATTATATAAAAGTTTTCGATATCATTGTGGCAAGTTCAACTATATGAAGGCGCCGATGAAATAAAGATTGGAAAAAGCGTGAGGAGAGGGGGATGCGATTTCGCCTAAGCTAATTTCAGCAGGTTTAGATGCACGGTTAGAGCAACGCTTAGCGACTCGGAAAGCGAATTCGGCGAGTCGAGTTCGAATTTCGACCGAGTATGTGGCGTTCACATTCGCACAAAAAAGTGTGAATTCCGCTTTTCTTCTTACTCCCAGCTATGGGTTAAATAGCAGTGTTAACTGGCTCTCTTGGCTTGCGATAGGGACCAGTTTAGGGGAAAGGAAACTTCTTTTTATGTGCCATGACATTTCAGGATGTAGGGGATCATGGCTCTCCACCTCCTAATATCCCTTGCAGTTCATTCCTTTTGCTCTCTCCCCTAGACCACGTTCTGTCATCCACCAGCTCAAGCCCAACAAAAATATCACGCACTGCATCCCCTTGTCTCTCTTTCCCTCTATTCGACCCGTGAGTATCATATTCTCCAGGCCCTCCTTCCTCATTATGTGTCCCAGAAACTTCAGCTGCCTCTTTCTGATGTTAAGTATAAGCCTTCTCTTTGTTTGTAAACTCTCTAAGATCTCATTGTTGCTCACACGCTCGGTCCACGAAATCCTCAGCATCCTTCTGTAGAACCACATTTCTGTCGTCTCGAGTCTCTTCTTCATCTTTTAGGAAATCATCCAACATTCGCTGCCGTAAAGAAAGATAAATGTCACGTAACAGCTTAGTATTCTTTTCTTTGTTACCAAAGAAATCCTCTTGTCTCGCAATAGAGGTACCTAAAAATCCTTAAAAAAAAAAAAAAATAAATAAATAGATTTTTAAAATATTCAAGGGAAATAATGTCCCAGAAACTTTCCTGATGTGAAGCATAAGCCTCCTCTTTGTCTGAATTCTCTCCAAGACCTCATTGTTGCTCACACGCTAGGTCCACGAAATTCTCAGCATCTTTATGTAGAACCACATCTCCGCCGCCTCGAGTCTCGTCTTCATCCTTGAGGAAAATCGTCCAACATTCGCTGACTTAAAGAAGGACAGATGTCACGTTACAGCTTAGTATTTCTTTGGTAATAAAGAAAAGGATATTGAAAGAAAACTATGAATTCAAAACTCGCCTGAAGTGCAATGAGGCCCCGTTTGGCTAGACTCGACGCTGTTGTTGTCGTGTTTTGAAACATCGTGACGTGACATCATATGATTTAGAGCAGATCTTGAAACCTTATCGCGAGCATTGAAGCAACAAGGAATAAGATTGAAAATAGAGGACACTTCTGAATTGTTGACAACATTTTATTTCTATCCGAATAATTAGTTGAATTAAAAGCATCGTTCAATGAACTGAATAGATTAATGGACCTGATCTGACCTGACATTATGGCTTCACTCACTTTCACACCGACGTAACATAGCTTCTTCTTGCCTCTTCTATAAATAGTTTCACTGTAATTGTTATGATATATGCATTATAAACTCTTGATAAAATATAAAGGAGAATCTGCAATGTTATCGGTCTTGAACTGTCATCTCGGTATCAGTGATTTTTTCCAGCACCATGACGTAGCTTTCCTGAATCTTTTCCATAAATATTCTCATGGTACCTCGACTCCACAAATTTTAGCTCAGTACTAGATTGTCAGTTAGGTCTCATAATTTCACTGTTGAAATTGCTAGTTGTAACTGTGAGTTCTATGTTAATAGTTTCTTCTCCAACATTTCTCGTTTGTGGAAATCTCTTCCGGCTTCCTGTTTCTGTCATCATCATGTCATCTTGAATTATGTTCGTTTATTGCTCTCACTGTTTCATTCACTCTCAGTAAACCCTTGCATCCGAGTGGCTTTATTGCCTTGTTTGGGGTGAAATGATTAAAC